TGCTGAATGACTTTTGGGTAAACAATGAAATTAGAGCAGAAATAAAAAATTGTTTGAAACAAATGAAAATAGAGACACATGGGCATAGTAGTTCAAGGGAAAAAAATAAAATAAAATAGAGACACAACATACCAAAACCTCTGGGATGCAGCAAAAGCAGTGTTAAGAGGAAAGTTCATACTGCTAAACGCCTACATCAAGAGGACAGAAAGATCTCAAATTAACAACCTAACCTCATACCTAAAGTAACTATACAAACAGGGATAAATTAAATCCAAAGCTAGCAGAAAAAAATGAAATAATACAAAGATCCTCAGAGACTACTATGATTATCTCTATGCACACAAACTAGAAAATCTTAGAGGAAATGGATAAATTATTGGAAACACACAGCCTGCCAAGATTGAACCAGGGAGAAACAGAAATCCTAAAGAGACAAGTAACAGTAATAAAATTGAAGCAGTAATAAAAAGCCTAAGAGAGAGTCACAACTGAATTCTACTAGATTTACAAAGAAGAGCTGGTACCAATCCTACTGAAACTATTCCCAAAAAATCAAGGAGCAGGCACTTCTCCCTAAATCATTTTATAAAACCAAAATTATCCTGATACCAAAATCTGACAAAGACACAAGAAAACAGGAGAACTACAAGCCAATATCCCTGATGAACACAGACATCAAAATCCTCAATAAAATGCTAGCAAACTGGCTAGGTGCAGTGAGTGGCTCGCACCTGTAATCCCAGCACTTTGGGAGGCCAAGGTGGGTGGATCATGAGGTCAGTAGACTGAGACCAGTCTGGCCAATATGGTGAAACCCCATCTCTACTAAAAATACAAATATTAGCCAGGCATGGTGGCACACGCCTTAGTCCCAGCTACTTGGGAGGCTGAGGCAGAAGAATCACTTGAACCTGGGAAGTGGAGGTTTCAGTGAGCCGAGATCGTGCCACTGCACTCCAGCCTGGGTGGCAGAGCAAGACTCTGTCTCAAAAAAAACAACAACAAAAAAATGCTAGCAAACTGAATCCAGCAGAACATTAAAAAGTTAATTCATCACAATCAAGTTGGCTTTATACTTGAGATGCAAGAATGCCAACCTACACAAACCAATAAATGTAATTCACCATATGAACAGAATTAAGAGCAAAAACTATATGATCATCCCAATAGATGCAGAAAAAGCATTTGATAAAATCCAACATCCCTTCATGATAAAAACTGTCAAGAAAGTAGGCACGGAAGGAACATACCTCAAAGTAGTAAGAGCCATTCAGACAAACCCACAGTCAACACCATACTAAATAGGCAAAAGTTCGAAGCATTTCCCACAAAAACTGGAACAAGACAAGGATGTCCACTCTCCCCAATTCCTTGAACACAGTAATGGAAGTCCTAATCAGAGCAATTGAGCAAAAAGATAAAAGGCATCCAAATAGGAAGAGAAGAAGTAAAACTATTTCTCTTTGCTGATGATATGATTCTATATCTAGAAAATCCTAAAGATTCTCCCACAAGACTCCTAGACCTGATAAACAACTTCAGCAAAGTGTCAGGATACATATGAAAATTAGCAGCATTTCTATACACCAGTAACATTCAAGTGAGAACCAAATCGAGAACTCAATCTCAATTGTAATAGCCACACACACATACATACAATATCTAGGAATGCAGCTAACCAGGCAGGCGAAAGATCTCTACAAGGAGAACTACAAAACACTGCTGAAAGAAATCGTGGACAACATAAACAAATGGAAAAGCATTCCATGCCCATGAGTTGGAAAAATCAGTATCATTAAAATGTCCACCAGGTATTGGGGCTCATGCCTGTAATCCCAGCACTTTGGGAGGCTGAGGTGGGCAGATCACCTGAGGTTGGGAATTCGAGACCAGCCTGACCAACATGGAGAAACCCTGTCGCTACTAAAAATACAAAATTAGCCAGGCATGGTGGCACATGCCTGTAATGCCAGCTATTCAGGAGGCTGAGGCAGGAGAATCACTTGAACCCAGAGGCGGAGACTGCAGTGAGCCGAGATCATGTCATTTCACTCCAGCCTGGGCAACAAGAGCAAAACTCCATCTCAATTTAAAAAATATATATAGATTCTGCCTGACATGGTTTGGATTTGTGTCTCCACCCAAACCTCATATTGAATTGTAATCGCCAATGTTAGAGATAAGGCCTGGTGGGAGGTGACTGGCTCATGGGAGTGGATTTTCTACCCCCATGGTGCTATTCTCATGAGATCTGGTTGGTTTTTGTTTTTGTTTTTGTTGTGAGATGGAGTCTTGCTCTGTTGTCCAGGCTGGAGTGCAGTGTGTGATCTCAGCTTACTGAAACCTCCGCATCCGGAGTTCAAGCCATTCTCCTGCCTTAGTTTCCCAAGTAGTTGGGATTACAAGCACGCGCCACCACACCCAGCTAATTTTTGTATATTTAGTATAGATGAGGCTTCACCAAGTTGGCCAGGCTGGTCTCAAATTCCTGACCTCAAGTGATCTGCCCATCTTGGCCTCCCAAAGTGCTGTGATTACAGTAGTGAGCCACTGTGGCTGGCCAAGATCTGGGTGTTTAAAAGTATGCAGAACTACTGCTCCCCCCAACCCCACCTCCAGTTATGTGAATTGCTGGCCATGTGAGCCAATTAAACCTCTTTTCTCTACAAATTATCCAGTCTCAGGTATTTCTCTATAGCAATGTGAGAACAGACCAATACAATGCCCAAGGCAATCAACAGATCCAATGCTATTCGGATTAAATTACCAAAATCATTCTTCACAGAATTAGGAAAAAAATACTTTAAAATTATATGTAACCAAAAAAGAGCCTGAATAATCAAAGCAATTCTAAGCAAAAAGAACAAAGCCAGAGGCATCACATTACCTGACTTCAAACTATACTACTAGTCTACAATAACCCAAACAGCATGATGCTGGCACAAAAATAAAACACAGACCAATGTAATAGAATAGAGACCCCTGAAATAAAGCTGCACACCTACAACCAAGTGATCTTTGACAAAGCTGACAAAAATAAACGATGGGGGAAAAATATCTTATTCAATAAATACTGGGAAAACTGGCTATCCTTAGGCAGAAGAATAAAACTGGACCTCTACTTCTTACCATATACAAAAATTAACTCAAGGTGAATTAAAGATTTTAAACATAAGACTTCAAACTATAAAAATCGAAGAAGAAAATCTAGGAAATACTCTTCTAGACACTGGATTAGGCAAAGAATTCATGACTAAGTCCTCAAAAGCAGCTGCAACAAAAACAAAAATTGACAACTGGAACCTAATTAAACTAAAGAGCTTCTGCACAGCAAAAGAAACTATCAACAGAGTAAACTGAAAATCAACAGAATGGGAGGAAATATTTGCAAACTACATATCTGACAAAGGACTAATATCCAGAATTTATAAGAAGCTTAAACAAATCAACACAAAAAAACCCAAACCCATTAAAACAGCCCACTAAAAAGTGGATAAAGGTGCCAGGCACAGTGGCTCACACTTGTAATCCCGGCACTTTGGGAGGCTGAGGCAGGTGGATCACGAGGTCAGGAGTTTGAGACCAGCCTGCCCAATGTGGTGAAACTCCATCTCTATTAAAAATACAAAAATTATCCGAGTATGGTGGCATGTGCCTGTAATCCTAGCTACTTTGGAGGCTGAGACAGGAGAATAGCTTGAACCTGGGAGGCGGAGGTTGCAGTGAGCTGAGATCATGCCATTGCACTCCAGCCTGGGCTACAGAGTGAGACTCTGTCTCAAAAAAAAAAAAAAAAAAGTGGGCGAAGGACATGAACAGACACTTCCCCAAAAAACAAAAGACATACAAGTGGCCAAGAAACATGAAAAAATGCTCCACATCACTAATGATCAGAGAGATGTAAATCAAAGCCACAATAAGATACCTCTCACACCAGTCAGAATGGCTATTAAAAAGTTTAAAAAAAAAAATCACAGATGTTGGTGAGGTTGCAGAGAAAAGAAAACACTCTTTTCTGTATACACAGGTATACACAGGAATGCAAATGAGTTCAGTCTCTGTGGAAAGCAGTTGGGAGATTTCTCAAAGAACTAAAAATAAAACTACCATTTGACCCAGTAAGCTCATTACTGGGTATATATCCACAAGAAAATAAATTGTTCTGCCAAAAAAATACCTGTACTCATATGTTAACGGTGGCACTATTCACATGGCAAAGACATGGAATCAACCTAGGTGCCCATTAATGGTAGATTAGATAAAGAAAATGTGGTACATATTCACCATGGAATGCTACACAGCAATAAATGTTCTCTACAGCAATATGTATGCAGCTGGAGACCATCATCCTAAGCAAATTAACACAGAAACAGAAAACCAAATACCACATGTTCTCACTTACAGGTAGGAGCTAAATATTAGCTGCACAAGGGAACAAAGATGGGAATATATATGGTGAGGCATGGAGGTGCATGCCTGTAATCCCAGGGCTTTGGGAGGAAGAATTACTTGAGGCCAGGAGCTCAATATCAGTCTGGGCAACATAGCAAGACTTCTCTTTTGTGAAAGGAAGCAATGCAATGGTAGCATGCAATGTTGTTCAATAGCATTTTACCCATAGTAGAACTGTGTTCAAAATTAAAGTAAGCCAAGTGCAATATGCATGTTTATAATCCCAGCTACTCAGAGTTTAAGGCAGGAAGATTGTTTGAGCCCAGGTTCAAGACCAGCCTGGGCAACATAGTAAGACCCCATCTCAAAAAACATATATTGGTATTAATCCTCTCAAACCCTGCATCTGCCAGTTTATGCAATATTCTAAATCCTTTATTGTTATTTCAACGATGTTTACAACATCTTCACCAGGAGTAGATTCCATCTTAAGAAACCACCTTCCGGCCAGGCACAGTGGCTCATGCGTGTAATCCCAGCACTTTGGAAGGCCGAGGCAGGCGGATCACAAGGTCAAGAGATTGAGACCACCCTGGCCAACACGGTGAAACCCCGTCTCTACTAAAATAACAAAAATTAGCTGGGCGTGGTGGTCAGCACCTGTAGTCCCAGCTACTCGGGAGGTTAAGGTTGCAGTGAGCTGAGATCACGCCACTGCACTCTAGCCTGGCACCTAGCGACAGGGCAAGACTCTGTCTCAAAAAAAAAAAAAAAAAAAGAAACCACTTTCTTTGCTCATCCATAAGAAGCAACTTGATTCGTTAAAGTTTTATCATGAGATTACAGCAACTCAATCATATCTTCAGACTCCACTTCTAATTCTAGTTCAAATCCTATTTCCACCATATCTGCAGTTACCTCCTCCACTGAAGTCCTGAACTCCTCAACGTCATCCATAAAAGCTGGAATAAACTTTTTCCAAACTCCTGTTAATGTTAATATTTTAATCTCCTCCCATGAAACATGAATGTTCTTAATGGCATCTAGAATGGTAAGTCCTTTCCTGAGGTTTTCAATTTACTTTGCCCAGATGCATCAGAGAAATCAGTATCAGCTATAGTCTTACAAAATGTATTTCATAATTTGGCTTAAATAATAGGACTTGAAAGTCAAGGCTGGGCATGGTGGCTCACACCTGTAATCCCAGAACTTTGGGAGGCCAAGGCAGGTAGATCATCTGAGGTCAGGAGTTCAAGACCAGTCTGACCAACGTGGAGAAACCCCATCTCCACTAAAAAAACAAACAAAAAAATTAGCCAGGTGTGGTGGCGCATTCCTGTAATCCCAGCTACTCGGGAGGCTGAGGCAGAATTGCTTGAACCTGGGAGGCGAAGGTTGTGGTGAGCCAAGATCACGCCACTGCACTCCAGCCTGGGCAACAGCGTGAGACAGAAAGAAAGTCAAAATGACTCCTTGATCCATGGGTTACAGAATGGATGTTGTGTTAGCAGGCAGGTAAACAACATTAACTTCTTTCTGCGTCTCCATTAGAGCCCTTGGATAACTAGGTACACTGTCAATGAACAAATATTTTGAAAGAATCTGCCTTCCTGGGTGCAGCTACAGCCGCCTGACCAGCAGCTACATTTCTGGGCCTCCAGCTCCAGGGAACAGGCAGGAGCCAGGGATTAGTGGGAGCCCCACCTCCAAGGTGGCAGGAGAGAGCTCCCTGAGTGCAGCTGTGGCCGCCCTACCAGGCACAAGACCTGGGCATCTCTGCAGCCTGCATTCTTGGGGCTCAGAAAAGCCCTGACCCCACTGTCCCTACATGCTCTGGGGTGTTTTCTCCTGCTAGCTGACCTCTCTGCTCACCCAGTGCTCACTCCAATCTTGGAGCGGGGTTGGGGCCAAGCCCGGGGCCATGATAGCGGGAGACAGACAGATTCCTGGGGTGAAGAGGATGGTCCCTGGTAAGGCCCCACCTTCTGGCCAGGGAGGGCCTGAAGGCTGGGGGCCAGGCTGCCAGTCCCATAGATGAGAATGGGGATTTGTGGTGCTTCCTCTGGGCCTGCCCATGGCTGCCCATGGACCAAATGGCAGGCACTTTCTCCCCTCTGAGTTCCATAAAAGCCCTGGGCTCAGCCAGAGAAGGGCAGAGGGCTGAGGATGGAGAGACAACTGGACTACCAACTGCAGGGAGGAGTTACCCTCTCTACTGAGAGTTTCAAGACCTGCACAGAGAAGCTACCCTCTCTGATGAGAGCTTCAGAGACCTGCAGAGACATCTGAATGACCTGTCTGTAGAGAGGAGCCACCCTGGTAAGGGCCTCCTCTCTGCTCACAGCAGCAGATGACAGGATGACCAGTGGGCAGAAAGAAGCTACCCTCTTCAGGGCCTCCTCTCTGCTAAGAGCTGAATACTTGACGGGATGACCTGCCTACAGAGAGGAGCTACCCACTGTAGGTCTCTGAGCTATTTTAACACTAAATAAAACTCCTCTTATCTTCTTCACTCTTCACTTGTTTGCATATCTCATTCTTCCTGGATGCAGGACAAAGATGCCACCAGCCAAAGGTGTTACTGGCCACAGAGGTTTCTGGGAAGAAAATCGATACCTCAAAGATCCTGCAACAATATCACAGGTCTGGATGAACACCAAACACCTACCTACCTACCTTCCTTCCTACACTCCTTCCTTCCTTCCTTCCCTTCCTTCCTTCCTCTTTCCCTCCTTTCCTTCCTTCCCTCCTTTCCCCTTCCTTTCTTTCATATTTTAAATGTTTATCAAGGTAATGCTTGTAAATACTTTTTGAAATTTTATTTGAGACAGGGTCTGGGTCCATCACCCAGGCTGGAGTACAGTGGTGTGATCTTGGCTCACTGCAATCTCTACTTTCCAGGCTCAAGTGATTCTCCAAACTGAGCCTCCTGAGTACCTGGGACTATAGGTGTGCACCACCACACCTGGCTAATTTTTTGTAGAGACAGGGTTTCACCATGTTGGCCAGGCTGGTCTCAAACTCCTGAGTTCAAAGCAGTTTGCCCACCTCAGCCTCTCAAAGTGGTTGGATTCCAGGTGTGAGCCACAAAGCCTGGCCAAATACTTTTTGAAAAGTCATGTGGAACTACAAGGCTCATTAACAAAAAATATCAGGTGTATATCCTACCCTGCCCCCCCCCAAAAAAAAACAAGTAGTGGCGTTTCCAAAGCCAGAGACACCTCTGAGACACTTTTACTTGCTTCTTTTCATGTTTACCAACATTTTCCCATATAAAACATTTATACTTCTATTATTGACTTGTATATTTTTTTCTCGTTTTTTCTTGTTTTTATGCGCGATCTAGGCTCTAGTACTTGCCAACTTGTAAATTTTAAATAGTATCTGTGTTAGGCTGTTCTTGTGTTGCTATTAAGAAATACCTGTGACTGGGTAATTTATAAAGAAAAGAGGCTTAATTGGCTCGTAGAAAAGAGGCTTAATTTCCTGCAGGCTGTACAGGAAGCACGGTGGCATCAGCTTCTAGGGAGGCCTCAGGAAACTTACAATTATGGTGAAAGGCAAACGGGGAGCAGACACATCACATGGCAAAAGGAGGGGGGAGAGAGAATATCACACATTTTTTTTTCTTTTCGGGGGGGGGAGAATATGAGAGACAGAGAATATCACTCATTTTTTTTTTCTTTTCCAAGATGGAGACTCACTTTGCCACCCAGGCTGAAGAGCAATGGCTCGATCTCAGCTCACTGCAACCTCCGCCTCCAGGGTTCAAGCAATTCTCCTGCCTTAGCCTCCTGAGTAGCTGGAACTACAGGTGTGCCACCACACCCAGCTAATTTTTATATTTTTAGTAGAGACGGGTTTCACCATGTTGGCCAGGCTTGTCTCAAACTCCTGACCTCATGATTCGCCTGCCTTGTCCTCCCAGAGTGCTGGGATTACAGGCATGAGCCACTGTGTGCAGCCGGTGCCACACATTTTTTTTGTTTGTTTGTTTGTTTTATTTTTTTTTGAGACGGAGTTTCACTCATGTTACCCAGGTTGGAGTGCAATGACGCGATCTCGGCTCACCGCAACCTCCGCCTCCTGGGTTCAGGCAATTCTCCTGCCTCAGCCTCCTGAGTAGCTGGGATTACAGGCACGCACCACCATGCCCAGCTAATTTTTTTGTATTTTTAGTAGAGACGGGGTTTTACCATGTTGACCAGGATGGTCTCGATCTCTTGACCTTGTGATCCACCCACCTCGGCCTCCCAAAGTGCTGGGATTACAGGCTTGAGCCACCGCGCCCGGCAGGTGCCACACATTTTTAAATGACCAGATGTTGTGCTATTGTGAAGACAGCACCAAGCCATGATTGATCCACCCCCATGACCCAAACACCTCCCACCAGGCCCCACCTCCAGCACTGGGGATTACAATTCAATGTAAGATTTGGCCAGGAGAGGATGTGGAGAAACAGGAACACTTTACACTGTTGGTGGGAATGTAAATTAGTTCAACCATTGTGGAAGACAGTGTGGCAATTCCTCAAGGACCTAGAAATAGAAATCCCATTTGACCCAGCAATCCCATTACTGGGTATATATCCAAAGGATTTTAAATCATTCTACTATAAGGACACATGCACATGAATGTTCATTGCAGCACAGTTTACAATAGCAAAGACCTGGAACCAACCCAAATGCCCATCGATGATAGACTGGACAGGGAAAATGTGGCACATATATACCATGGAATATTACGCAGCCATCAAAAACGATGAGTTCGTGTCCTTTGTAGGGACATGGATGAACCTGGAAACCATCATTCTCAGCAAACTGACACAAGAGCAGAAAATCAAACACCGCATGTTCTCACTCATAGGCGGGTGTTGAACAATGAGAACACACGGACACAGGGAAGGGAGCACTATACACTGGGGTCTGTTAGGGGAAAATAGGGGAGGGACAATGTGGGGTGGGGAGTTGGGGAGAGATAGCATGGGGAGAAATGCCAGATATAGGTGAAGGGGAGGAAGGCAGCAAATCACACTACCACGTGTGTACCTATGCAACAATCTTGCATGTTCTTCACATGTATCCCAAAACCTAAAATGCAATAATAAATAAATAAATAAATAAAAATAAAAATAAAATTAAAAAAAGATTTGGCCAGGGACAAATATCCAAACTATATCAGTATCTAACAGGAAATACGATAATTCATACCTTATACTTTCTATCTTTTCTAATATTGTTATATTAAATCAAGTATTTCATGTTAACTTTATTATGGCTTTCTTATACTAGTGTGGTTTACTTCTTGATCAATTAGACACATTAAATCTAATTGTCCTTTTCCCTTTTTCTCTCTCCTCTTTCTCTCTTTCTTTCGATGGGGTCTCTCTGTCACTCAGACTGGTCTGGAACTCCTGGTCTCAAGTGATCCTCTTACCTCAGACTCCTGAGCAGCCAGGGTTACAGGTGCATGCCACCATCCCCAGCTACATTTCCTTTCTTATACAGTTTTTGTTTTTTCTTGGAATTAACAATTGCCTCAGTTTTTGTTTGCCAAATTTTCTGTCATTATCACTGACTCTTCCAGACTTTCCAACGTAAGTGTAAAAATGCCTAAATTATTTTCAACACAGTCAAACACATCAGATACTCTATCAGGTTCACTGGAAACAATTCCCTAGAGCACTTCTTTCTCCAGTTTCTCCAAGGCTACATATAGCTGTCATCTTGGGACTTCCTTCTGCTTCTTTCACAGGTTGATCCCACTTTCTAAAATCTATTATCTTTGTCTTTCTTTTTTATTTGTACATAATATTGGTATATATTCATGGGGTACATATGATACTTTGTTACATACATAGAGTGTGTAATGACCAATTCAGGGTATTTAGGATATCCATAAATTCCAGCATTTATCATTTCTGTGTGTTCAGAAAATTTCAAGTTGTTTCTTCTAGCTATTTTGAAATACATAATACATTGTTGTTTTAACCACAGTCACTCTACTCTGCTACTGAAAATCAGAATATATTCCTTCTATCTAACTGTATGTTTGTACCTATTAACCAACCTCTCTTCCTCCCCGACTCATACCCTTTTTAGCCTCTGGTAACTAACATTTTACTCTCTACTTTCATGAGATAACTTTTTTTTGGCTCCCACATGAGTGAGAATATGTCATATTTGCCTTTCTATGTCTAGCTTATTTCACTTAACATAATGACCTCCAATTTCATCCATCCTGCTGCAAATTACATAATTTATTTATTTATTTATTTTTGAGACAGGGTCTCACTCTGTCACCCAGGCTGGAGTGTGGTGGCGTAATCATAGCTCACTCCTTGACCTCCCAGGTTCAAGAGATCCTCCCACTTCAGCCTCCCAAGTATCTTGAACTACAGGCATGCTACCATGCCCAGCTAATTTTTTTTTTCCTTTTTTTTTTGTAGAGGCAGGGTTTTGCCATGTTGCCCAGATAGGTCTTGAATGCCCAAGCTCAAGTGATATGCCCTCTTTGGCTTTCCAAAGTTCTGGGATTACAGGCATGAGCCACCATGTCCAGCCTAATTTATTCTTCCCCCCACCCCTTCTTTTTTTTTTTTTTTTTAACAGCATGTTGCTCTGTTGCCCAGGAGTACAGTACTGCAGTCATGGCACACTGCAGCCTTGAAATTCTAGGCTCAAGTGGTCCTCCTGACTTTGTCTCCTGAGTAGCTGGACTACAGGCATATGCCACCACGCTCAGCTAATTTTTTATTTTTTGCAGAGATGGAATCTCACTATGTTGCCCAGGCTGGTCTCGAACTCCTGGATTCAAGCAATCCTCCCACTTTGGTCTCCTAAAGTGCTGGGATTACGGGCATGAGCCAACATGCCCAGCCTTCAGGTTTTTTAATTGACAAATAATATTCCATAATGTATATATACCACATTTTCTTTATCAGTCATGCACTGATGGACACAAACTTGATTCCATATCTTTGCTATTGTGAATAGTGCTGCAATAAGCATATGGGTGCAACTATCCCTTGATATACTAATTTCCTTTCCTTTGGATAAATACTCAGTAGTGAGATTACTACATACAGTAATATAGTTTTGTTTTGTTTTGAGGCGGAGTCTTGCTCTGTCACCAGGCTGGGGTGCAATAGCACAATCTCAGTTCACTGCAACCTCTGCCTCCCGGGTTCAAGTCATTCTCCTGCCTCAGTCTCCTGAGTAGCTGGGACTACAGGCATGTGCCACCATGCCCAGCTAATTTTTGTATTTTTAGTAGAGATGGGGTTTCACCATGTTAGCCAAGATAGTCTTGATCTCCTGACCTCATGATCCGTCTGTCTCAGCCTCCTTAAGTGCTGGGATTACAGGTGTGAGCCACCGCACCCGGCCTACTTTTAGTTTTTTTGAGAAATCTGTATACTGTTTTCCATAATGGCTGTACTAATTTACATTCCCACCAACAGTATGTAAGTTTCCTCTTCTCTGCATCCTGACCAATAACTGTTTTTTTTTTTAATCTTTTTCATAATAGCCATTCCAACTGGGGTGAAACGATATCACATACTAATTTTGATTTGCATTTTTTTCTAGTTAAACAATTTTACTGCTTGGATACATAGACAAATTTATGTGACCAGGACAGAGGCCGTAGATGATTCATATTTCCAATTGGGAGTGGGGACTTGCTTGGTCTTTTAAAATCGAGCCAAATACTGAATCCAGCTCTCTATCAGAACCACACAAAATTTAGCATCCTTATCCTTTCTGTTCCTCTCAAGATGTTTTTCAATGGCAGCTGCTTTCTTAATTAAATGGTAGAGATCTTCAGGGAGACCAGGAGCAAGTCCCTTAGACTTAAGAATTCTTAAGATTTTATTGCCTGTCACAAAACATACTTGTGCAACACCATGTGAATCTCTCAGGATCACACCAATTTGTGGAGGAGTCAGGCCCTTCTTGGCCAGTCTATAAATCTGCTCCTTCCTGTCATCAGATGTAAACTTCAGCCAAGTGGGGACACTGCAGTGATAGGACAAAGCCAAATGGGATAGGCCCTTCTCGGGAGCATGCATGCAACCCATGATGGCAGTGGTCAGGCAGCAAAAGTTAATTTGCATTTCTATGATGGTTAGTGATATTGAACATTTTTTCATACACCTGCTGGCCTTTGTATGTCTTATTCTGAGAAATGTCTGTTCAGATCCTTTGCCCACTTTTATAAATGGAATTGTTATTGCTGTTGAGTTGTTTGAGTTCTATGTATATTCTGGATATTAATCCCTAGTTGGATGGTTTGCAAATATTTTCTATCATTGAACAAGTAGTCTCTTCATTCTGTTGTTTCCTTTGCTGTGCAGAAACTTTTTAGTTTAATTTAGTCCCATTTGTCTATTTTTGGTTTTGTTGCCTGTGCTTTTGAGGTCTTAGTTATAAAGTGTTTACTAGACCAATATCCTAGAGTGCTTCCCATATGTTTTCTTCTAGTAGTTATAAGTTTGGGGTAAATTTAAAACTTAAAAGTATTTTGAGTTGATTTTTTTGCATATGGTGAGAGATAGGGGTCTAGTTTCATTCTTCTGCATATGGATATCCAGTTTTCCCAACAACATTTTTAAAAGAGGGTTTCCTTTCCCAAATGTATGTGCATGGTACATTTGTTGAAAACCAACTGGCTATACATTAATTTATTTCTGGGTTCTCTATTTTGTTACCTTGGTCTGTGCGTGGTTTTATAGAAATACATGCTGTTTTGGTTATTACAGCCTTGCAATATATTTTACAGTCAGGCAGTGTGATGCTTCTAGCTTTGTTCTTTTGGCTTAGGATTGCTTTGACCATTTAGACTTTTTGTTCCATACACATTTTAGGATTGCTTTTTCTGTCTTTTTTGTTTTAGTAGCACATATCCTCCAGTGGCTTCCTAAGAAAAGTTATGTGGCGGTAAGAGGTACATTTTTTATCCTTGTATCTAAAAATATCTTTATTTATCCCTCCTATTTGGCTGATAATATAGCTTAGTATAAGAGTTCTAGATTGAAAATGTATTTTCTCTCCGAATTTGAAAGCCTTGCTTCATTGTCTTCTAGCCACCAATGTTACTATTGACAAATATGCTATTCCTATCACCTGCTCTTTCATAAGTAACCTGTTGCTTTTTCCCTGCCCCCTCCTCACCTCCTACCACCAAGATTTTTTATTTTCCCTTTATCTCCTGTGTTAAAAAATTTCATGATGATGTACCATGTTTTTGCTTTGTTTTCTTTCATTATGCTGGGCACTCAGTAGGTTCTGTCACTCTTGAAACTCATAGTTTCTTTGATAATTTCCTTCCCTCTATTTCTTCTGTATTTCTAGAACTCCTGTTAATCTAATGATTGACCTTATGAATTCATCCTCTAATTATCTTTTCTCTGTTATTTTTCCATTTGTATTTCTCTTCTACTTTCTGGGAGATTTCTTGAACTTTATATATTAAGCCTTCTATAAATAACAGCTAGTGCTCGACTAACGACCACGATTGGTTCCGACAGACCAGTCATAACACGATTTGGTCATAAGTTGAGTAGGCTATATGTACAGTACTGTGAAATGATGTTATAAAAATCTTTAAGTCATATTTTATCATAATTTTCTTTCATTGTTATATATCATAATTTTTTGTTCATTTTATGCCATTTGTATCATCTCTACACCATTTTGTTTCTTATTTTTACATTTGTCAGGTTTAAGTAAAACACTGCATTACCAGTACAACTGGTTTAATATTTGCAAAACATACAAAATTACAAAATACAGGTGTAAAAAATACCATAGGAAACATTTTCCCAATTGCAAAACATATCAAAATATATAAACATGTATGAAACATTTTATTGGCCCACTGGTGCTTGGCTGCGGATCGTTGATGTCGTCGTCTGAGGCAGCAGTTGGGGTTACCAGAGTTGGTTTTTTCATAAACATGGTGAGCTGTGTCTGAATTGTATGTTTCTTTTTTTCTTCATAAATTTCATGATGCGGACAAAACACATCGTGCGCCATCCGTTCAATCCTTGCAAATCGTTCGATGTTTGGGTCCACTGCTTCGAAATGTATAAGAAGTTTATTGGGAAGGGTTTGATGAAAAATATCCAAGACACAAAACACAAATTGCTGTACCGAGTCTGGGATAACAGTTGAAATAGTGCACGCGGAGATGGTAGTGCTGCCAGAAGCTGGTCCACACTGTCGTACGCTCAGCTGGGCAACGTTTGCGCTGCCAGATCCGGAGCAGTCGTGGCTAGCGATTGTGGTCGTAAAGTCGAATTGTCGTAAGTTGCATAGGTCGTAAGTCGATCAATACCTGTATTTTTCTATTATTATTAAGAGCAGGTCTTGCTCTATTGCCCAGGCTGGAGTCCGATGGCATCATCATAGCTCACTGCAGGCTCCATCTCCTGGGCTTGAGCAACTCTCCTGCCTCAGCTTCCTGAGTAGCTGGGACCACAGGCATGAGTCACCACACCTGGCTCATTTTTCTTTCAAAAAATATTTTTAGTAGAGAAGAGGTCTAGCTATATTGCCCAGGTTGGTCTTGAACTCCTGGCTTTAAGTAATCCTTCTGCCTTGGCCTCTCAAAGTGCTGGGATTACAGGCATCAGACACCATGTTGGGCCAATTTTTCTATTATAATTTCCCAGAGCTGTTACTTAATCTGTTTCTTTTTTCTTCCTTTCTTTTTTTCTTTTTTTCTTTTTGAGATGGAGTTTCACTCTTGTTGCCCAGAATGGAGTGCAATGGCATGATATTGGCTCCCTACAACCTCTGCCTCCTGGGTTCAAGCAATTCTCCTGCCTCAGCCTCCCAAGCAGCTGGAATTACAGGCATGCACCACCACACCCAGGTAATTTTTGTATTTTTAGTAGAAATGGGGTTTCTCCAGGTTGGTCAAGCTGGTCTTGAACTCTTGACCTCAGGTGATCTGCCCGCCTCAGCCTCCCAAAATGCTGGAATTATAGGTATGAGCCACTGCACCCAGCCTTATTCTATTTCTTTTTGGAGCATTTTATCTTTGCTTTATGGATGCAGTATTTTCTACTATCTCTCATAGACTGCTTAGTGTTTTTTTAAAAATATTCTTCTGTTCTCTTCAGTTTCTGTTCCCTTTGAATTTCTTTTCTCTTTTCTATTTCTATTTGATGCTGTCTTTTTTGATGAAGGTTCATATTAAATATCTGGTGACCCTTTGTTGTCCCTTCATATTTTTTTTTTTTCTTTTGGGACGGAGTTTCGCTCTTGTTACCCAGGCTGGAGTGCAATGGCACGATCTCGGCTCACCGCAACCTCCGCCTCCTGGGTTCAGGCAATTCTCCTGCCTCAGCCTCCTGAGTGGCTGGGATTACAGGCACGCGCCACCATGCCCAGCTAATTTTTTTGTATTTTTAGTAGAGACGGGGTTTCACCGTGTTGACCAGGATGGTCTCGATCTCTTGACCTCGTGATCCACCCGCCTCGGCCTCCCAAAGTGCTGGGATTACAGGCTTGAGCCACTGCGCCCGGCCTTGTCCCTTCATATTTAAGAGTGAGTCACTAACTATTTGGAAGCTCTGTGTTAATAGGAAGTTTATCAAGTTGTGGGTTTCACTGTAGGATGATAAAGTGGGTACCTAGGTGTTTTGTTGGGAGACCTCAAATATCAGTATGTATAGATCTTTCCTCTGGGGTTAATTAATTAACATTAATTCTCTGATATCTTGCCTGGAGAATATAAGCCTTGCTGTCAGCATTTTTGGAGCAAAATTCAGCAGGATGACTGAGTGCGTCTCACCATTCAGCATGTAGACAGTTCAACTAATCTCTGTTTTCAGTCTGATATCCTCCTACCTTAGCCTCCCTGCTATTATCTTTAGCTGTGCCTGGTATCTCAGTGTCTGGAGCTTCTCTACTTCAATTTTGTCCCAGAGGGTGCCAGGGAGATGAAAGAGTAGTTGTCTAAGTGAGAAGGAGGGAGAAAAGGACCTGGCAGTTTACCTTCCTATAAAGGCTTTTAGCAAAACCCTCTCTTTTCTGCCTCTCACATCACCTCTGCTTCTATAGCATCTGCTCTGTCCCAGTCCTGCCATTCTAGTATTCTGCAATATGAATCTGTTTGTCTCGTCAGTATATCCCTCAGCAAACATTTAGAATTGTTTTCTCAGCTCAACCATGGCTTTCCAGCTTCCAAAAATGTGTTGATATCCTGAATTTACTATTGTCTTTTTTTATTCTTTGTCTGTAGGCTGGTAACACTAAAAATATTAACTCACTGTTACTATAGTGATTTGGGGGAGTGAACAGGGATAAACATATGTGTTTAATCTGTCCTAGCATAAACAGAAGTGCAAGATGACTGCCAAGATGCCCACTCTTTGCTCCTATTAAAAAAAAGTAAGATCCGGCCAGGCACGGTGGCTCATGCCTGTAATCCCAGCACGTTGGGAAGCTGAGGCAGGCGGATCACCTGAGGTCGGGAGTTTGAGACCAGCCTGATCAACATGGGAAAACCTCATCTCTACTAGAAATACAAAATTAGCCAGGCCTAATTTTATAGGCGCATGCATATAATCCCAGCTACTCATGAGGCTGAGGGGCATGCCTGTAATCCCAGCTACTCAGGAGGCTGAGGCGCATGCCTCATGCCTCAGGTGGCACATGCCTATAATCCCAGCTACTCAGGAGGCTGAGGCATGAGAATCACTTGAACCCTGGAGGCAGAAGTTGCAGTGAGCCAAGATCTTGACATTGCACTCCAGCCTGGGCAACAAGAGCAAAACTCTGACTCAAAAAAAAAAAAAAGTTAGAGCCAGAAAATTCATAGATATGGTGCAGTGGCTCACGCCTGTAATCACCGCACTTTGGGAGGCTGAGGCAGGCGGATCACCTGAGGTCAAGAGTTTGAGACCAGCCTGGCCAACATGGTGAAACTTCGTCTCTACTAAAAATACAAAAATTAGCTGGGCATGGTGGCAGGCGCCTGTAATCCCAGCTACTTGGGAGACTGAGGCACAAGAATTGCTTGAACCCAGGAGGTGGAGATTGTGGTCAGCCAAGATCACACCAATCCACTCCAGGCTGGGCAACAGAATGAGACTCTTGTCTCAAAAAAAAAAAAAAAAAAATTCATAGATAAAATTCTGCTCTCATAGGCCAATGTGGAAAAAGCAGGAGTCTGAGAGTTGTAGTCCATGTGTCCAAGCCTTATTATTATCATTCCCT